TCAGGCGTCGGAGGGGCCGGCGAACACCCCGACGGTCTCGTTGAAGTAAATCTGGAAAGCCCTGTCCTTGAATTTCTTGTTCATGTTGGCAGACCACATGTGCTCTGCGGCGGTGTCCCACTCCTCCATCGGAAATAGGCCCTTCATGCGACCGACGTCCATGAGGAACTGGTGGCGCGTGACGATGCCGCCCCACGTATCCCAATTCATCTGGTAGAGCTGGATCCGCTTGTTCATCTCGTCAGTCTTGTTCTCCCAATTGCCGTGGAAAGCCTCGCCGCGCAGGGGGCGCTTCTGAGAGAGCCACTGCTCTGGGCTCCAGCCCTGCAACATGCCCTTCACACGATCCACCGGGGTACTGCCGTGCACCGCCCCGGGAATCACAGCGAACCTGTTGTAAGGGTTCTTCTGGGGGTCCAGGTTGAACGTGTTGATGACCGAGGCCATGTAGACCCTCTCGTCCGACCTCATGAGGGAGAGCGCCTTAGATATGAAGTTGGGGGCTCCGTGGGAGTGGTTGCTCCTGTAGATGCGCCACTGGGCGTCCATGTGGTACACGTACTGGCCCTTGCACTGGAAGTTCTGGTCCAGCGCCATGGTGTTGACGTACATTCTGTCGTAGAAGCTAGAATTCTTCTCTGCCTCAGGGATGGCGTAGTGCTCGAGAGCATCCTTCAACATCTCGGGAGAGCCGTAGTCCACGACCTTCACCCTCCACTGGGGGGCGGCGGTCGGACAGTGGTCGCGGAGCAGCTCGGCGGCGGCCCTGGCGGTAGCCACCGCCGCGGACTTCAGCGCGAGGTCCACGCCGAACCTCGTGATGCGCCTCCCGCCCAATAGTACCATCTCGCCTCCAGTGGCACCGTGGGGTGCAACCGAGTGGCTGGTGACGTTGCCTGGTGTCTCTGGGCCAAGCTTGTCGTGGCCCGCGTGAGGGGCGTCCAGCACGATCATGACGTCGCTGAAGCAGAAGCGCATCGCGCGAATAGAGGCGAGCACGTTGCGGTGCATCTCCTGGAAGGAAGGCTGGCCCCTCGCGGGAAAACAATAAAATACCCATACCGTTACTCCACGGACCTCTCCTGGGCTACGTTCTGGCCAAGATCCCGAGGCGAATCCAGCCGTGGTGACAAGGAACGGGTAATGGAATCGGTACATGCTCCTCCTCTGACCTCTTGTGTCCGCTGCTGCGACAACCGCTCGCGCCACAGTGGGTGCCGTAGCTGAAAGTCACGTCGCTGCCCGGAACGGACTCCCACGCGTCGACCATCTCGCTGACCTCGGTCTCGTTGAGGGGCTCCGCGAAGCCCTCGAGCTCGCTGCCCGCGTTGGTCTCCATCTCCGCCCGGTGCGTGTTGGCCTCTAGGGCCTCCTGGTTGAACAACTCGGAGGCCTTCAACCTCGTCTTCAACTGCCTCTTCTGGCTGATCGCGTCCGTCTTGGCGGTGTACTCGAGCTCATCGAAATTCAGCGTGTCCCCCCACGTGCGGAACTCCTCTATACCAACCCAGTCCAGCGCGTCCGGCTGGTCGGGCGGCTCCGACTGGAGGCCAACGACGGCGTGGCCAGTGAATCCCAGCAGCGCCACGGTGAGCACAGCACGGCACATGGCGCGAGGAGGAGTGCAGGCGGTTTGCGCCGAAGGAGTGTACAATAGCGAATATTGCGCGTGGCGAGAGCCTACAAATTGCTTGAGCCAGAACGGCTACGGACGAGCAGGAGGATGTGGAGGCAGACGTGGATGATGATGGTGATGATGATGATGATGATGATGATGGTGATGATGACGATGACAATGATGATGACGAAGATGCTGATGATGACGATGATGATGACGATGACGACGACGGCGACGTTGGTACTGATGGTGACGATGATGACGAATGTGACGACGATGATGATGATGATGATGATCATGTTGAGGGTGATGGTGATGATGATGATAATATGGACGACGACGCCGATGAAGATGAAGATGAGGATGCGGATGAGGATGAGGATGATGATGATGAGGATGAGGAGGAGGATTATGATGATGATGATGATGATGATGATGATGATGATGATGATGATGATGATGATGATGATGATGATGGTGATGGTGATGATGATGATGGTCATGATTATGATTTCTGGCAACTGCACGTATCTGGAATCATGAACGCTCCTGTTACGTTCGTCTTCATGCAGGGGCCAAGAAGGATGTGCAACAACACAATCGATAGACCGACCCCCGAGCCACTGACGAGAAAAGCGCACGGCAGAGCGCACGGCAGCCTCGGCACGTTGCTGGAGAACACTTCCGACGCGCGCCACCACTAATTAGAGTACAGCTTACAGTCAACCAGTATAGTAAGGATGCGCGATAAGGATGCAAGGGCCTTGGAGGGCCATTTCGAAGCTTTTCGAGCACCGAGGAGGCAAGGATGCAAGGGCACCCTTGGGAAAGTTGCCCATCCTTACTGTGTGGGTTGCCTGTAACGCTGAAATGCACTCAACAACGTAATCTGCGTACGCAGTGCCAGCAATCCAGTGTCAACGACGTAATGTGAACAACGCAGTGTCAACCTGATTGATGACAACAACGTGGTGCCAACAACGCAACGCCAATAACACCACGTCACCAACCGTGCTTCGGAAAACCGTGCTTGTAGGCATCCCCTTCTCGCGGCCTTCCGCATCCTCCTCGGGAGGCGCCCAGGCGCGGGGCCCACACGCAGTGGTAACCGCCGCCCGCACCGCTGAATTCTGCAGCGGCTCTCGATCCCCGTCCTTCACGAGGGTCATTTTCCAGATCTCGTCCCAGACATGCTCGCGGCATCGCAAAATCACGGACGGCAGGCGTCTTGCAGTTTGGGGCCCCTGAGGGCCCTCGCCGAGCCCTGGGACCTTCAGTTCGCCTGGCGGAAGACCCCACCATGGGCAGCTGCGAATACTGCGAGAGAGATGAGACGAAGACGGGGGGCGAGAAAACTCAGAGTAGCGACCGCGGTACAACCTTCTGCTGCCACGAAGCGTGTGAACAATGTGCAGGCGTGCGTCGGGGGACGCATGCCAACGTCGCGATTGGGGCCTTCTGTGGAGCTCCCTATGGGGCCACGAAGCGTGTGACGGGTGTGCCGAAATCGGGCGGCGGTGCCTTGCGAACTTTCCAATTCGGGCCTTAGGTAGAGCTCCTTACGGGGCCCTGGAACGTGTGAGGGGTGAGCGGACATGGGGCGGCGGTGCCATGCGAACTTTCCCACTTGGGCTTTAGGTGGAGCTCCCTATGGGACCACGAAATGTGTGAGGGGTGTGCCAAAATGGGGTGGCGGCGCCATGCGACTTTCCCCACTGGCCCTGGGTGGAGCTCCCTATAGGGCCACGAAGCGTGTGAGGGGTGGGGCGTGCAGAAATGGGGCGGCGGTGCCATGCGAACTTTCCCACAGGGGCCTTCGGCGGAGCTCCCTATGGGGCCACGAAGCGTGTGAGGGTGTGCCGAAATGGGGCGGCGGTGCCATGCGAACTTTCCCACTTGGGCTTTAGGTGAAGCTCCCTATGGGGCCACGAAACGTGTGAGGGGTGAGCGGACATGGGGCGGCGGTGCCATGCGAACTTTCCCACTTGGGCTTTAGGTGGAGCTCCCTATGGAGCCACGAAGCGAGTGAGGGGCGTGCCGAAATGGGGCGGCGGTGCCATGAGAACTTTCCCACTTGGGCCTTCGGCGGAGCTCCCTATTGGGCCACAGAATGCGTGAGGGTGTGCCGAAATGGGGCGGCGGTGCCATGCGAACTTTCCCACTTGGGCCTTAGGCGGAGCTCCCTATGGGGGGGCCAACCGTGTGAGGGGTGTGCCGAAATGGGATGGGCATGCGGAGGGCAGAGGCAGGGAGGGGGAGGGGACCGTCTCTTCAAAACGAGGACCCACCACCACAGGATGGTTGGGACAAATCAACTCGGACTCGGGATGAAACACCTGCCCTGGGGAGAGGGGGGTCGGTACATCTAGGGACCCCGTAATGAAAAACAAAACATCGCACGTCTGGGGTCGCTCATGTTATTCCTGTCATTCGTAAGCTCACCCGGCTGCTCCGACAGGGCGCCCAACACATCAAGGACGATGTTGTTCGAGAGGCCCGGCCTGCACCCAGCTGCCAAGCTGCCTAAAGTCAATCGACCATCGACCATGTACTCTCGCAGACATCGTCGGGAGTTCGCTTCGGTTGACCCCTTCTGTTAGAGGATCGTCTGGTCGATCTCTGAATTGACTTGCCCATTGGCCTTCCTCTCACCGTGCCCACTTGGACGTTGCGTTGCCGCCTCAACACGTTCATGCCCTCCCACTTGGACGTTGCGCCGCCGCCCCAACTCGTTCGTGCTCTCTTCGGGCGTGCTGCATCCCAGCCAACTCCACAGCGAGTCTTTGGTTCTCGCCTTGCAGCTCAACGCACTGTGGCTACGGGTCGTCCGCCCTCAACTGCCAGGCCGCACTCTCGAGAGACACGTCATGCAAGCCGTCTCCTCACATATGGATGCCGTTGTGGCCGCCGCCCTCTCGGCGACCAACCATCGCGGCACTTCTGCCTCGGAGCTCGGGAGCTCCTCCGCGAGGGGCGAGAGAGCCTTCTTCTCCGTGGGGAGCTGCCAAGAAGCTCCAGTCCGCAAGCGGCGCGGGGTTGCCGTGGCACGAAGCTTGCGTCGCTTCGACGAGGGCTCTTTCATGTCCAGTGCAGCAGCAGGGGGCGTTTCGGAAAGGCGCTGGCAACATTGCTCGTCATCTGGCGTCTGCAGAAGCGGCTAGACACGAAAAGATGGTTCTTGCACGCTTGAAGCACAATGCCAGTTCGAACCTTGACCCAAGACGTATTTTGCCAACATGGTTCCTGCTGATGCTGATGGTGTTGCTGACTTGGTTATGATTGTTGTTGCTCATGGTGCTAATGGGGGGAGGAGGAGGAGGAGGAGGAGGAGGAGGAGGAGGAGGAGGAGGAGGAGGAGGAAGAGGAGGAGGAGGAGGAAGAGGAGGAGGAGGAGGAGGAGGAGCAAGAGGAGGAGGATGATAACGGGATGGGGAAGCGCATGAAGAAGAGGAGGATGCGCATGAGGATGACGGCGAGGTGGATCAGGAATACGAGGAAGCGGACGAGGATAAGCAGTACGATGACGGCAGGTGAGGATTAAGAGTGATTGCGACGAGTGCATGACGACGACAAAAGAGAAATATGACATATGAGGATGAGGCGGACGAGGATTGATACAAAAAGGGTATGGACGAGGAAGAGGCGTATGAGGACGACGACGACAAGAAAGAGGAAGGAGGGAAGAGGAGGAATCTGCGCAGGAGGGGGATGCGGGGAGAGGAGAAGAAAGAGGATTAACGTGGAGGGGAACGAGGACGTCACGCAGCTGGAGGGAGGAGGGACAGAGGAGGCTAGGACGAGGAAAATGAGTGCAGGAGGACGGAGGAGGACGGCACATGGATCAACATGATACGGACGCGACCGTGGGAGTTCGGCTGTGACCTCCTGGTGGAGCTCCACGGCCCCCGCTTCCTTGCAAGAGGCGCCTCCAGAAACGCCCCTGCTGGAGAGATCGTGTGCATTTCGTCCTCAGGCAGCATTGGTTTCTCGAAGGCGGAGGCGGAGGAGGAGGCAGAGGGTGAGGGTGAGGAGGAGGAGGAGGAGGAGGAGGAGGAGGAGGAGGAGGAGGAGGAGGAGGAGGAGGAGGAGGAGGAGGAGGGAGGAGGAGGAGGAGGAGGAGGAGGAGGAGGAGGAGAGGAGGAGGGAGGAGGAGGAGGAGGAGGAGGAGGAGGGGGAGGAGAAGGAGGAGGAAGAGGAGGAGAGGAGGAGGAGGAGGAGGAGGAGGAGGAGGAGGAGGAGGAGGAGGAGGAGGAGGAGAGGAGGAGGAGGAGGAGGAGCAGGAGGAGGAGAGGAGGAGCAGGAGGGAGGAGGAGGAGGAGGAGGACCAGGCGGAGGAGGAGGAGGAGGCCAGGCGGAGGAGGAGGAGGCCAGGCGGAGGAGGAGGAGGAGGCGGAGGAGGAGGAGGAGGAGGCGGAGGAGGAGGAGGAGGAGGAGGAGGAGGAGGCGGAGGAGGAGGAAGAGGACGACGACCAACGTACAGATCCCTGGGCGCAGCTGACCGCCCACGCCGCCGGAGGCCCAGCGGCGGCCCGGCACGGGGCCCGCCGGCAGGTCGGTCCCTCCCGAGCTCGCGGCCACGCGCGCGAGGAGCTGCCGAGACACGCTCCACTCGCATCGCACCGCATCGCCGATGCACGGGGAAACCAATAGGTACCGAGTTGGCGGCGCGCACAAGGGGGTAAGCAGGGGGAGGGGGGAGGCTTCTCAGGAGGATGCTGCTCCCCAGAACGTGCCAGCCCTACGTGTATAGACAAGGACCGCGCCTTCCAAGAAGCAGCCTCCTTCTCATAAGCCTTCCCCCCCCCTCCCCCTGCTCCCCTCTACACGTAACCAATCAACACCGCTGCTCCCCACAGACCCCATCCCGGGGTGCGTGCTGACCAGAGTCCGGAAGCGCACGCGGTCCTGGCGACGACTTCTCCTTCTCCGAGACCGGCCTCTGCGGGCCCCAGGCGCGCCCGAGGCACGCCTCGCGAGGCAGCGGCTCTCGGAGGAAAGGACCCTCGGCACTTGGCTCTTGAGGCCGCCCGAGTGGCCGCAGGGCGGCACCGCAGTGCCGCTGCATCGGCGACGCCGGGACGGAGAAGATCTCCGTCCCGAGCCTCGCGCCACCCCGCCGCTGCCTCGGCGAGGCGGCGCGCGCCTGCGACCCCGGCTGCGCCAGCTCCGTCGACGGGCGGCCCAGGCCTGGCCTGCAGGGCGCCACGTGGCTGCTCGGGCACGCCGGGTTCGTGTCGTGCCGGCTTCGGCGCTGGTTTTTCTGACACCGCGGGGATCGTTCAACCCTGAACGATCGGCCGTTTCCGAAGCGTCCAAATCGTTCCGCATGGTTCAGATGCTGGGTCGCCCGCGGCGTTCCGCGTTGAACGCCGCTGGCGGGGTCGCCGCCGGTCGACACGACACCGAACCTACCGCACTCGCAAGGAGTGACCCTGGGCAAGAGTGGCCTTTGGTGCGCGGCTTTGGAGGGGGGCGCGGTGGGGGGGGCAGGTCCAAGCGGGCAGCCCAGTGCTGCAGGAGCCCCTGCGGGCCCACGCACACCGACGGCCACTCCGGCGAGAGGCTGCTCTGACGTGCAGCCGATCCTCCTGCTCCTCCTTCTCCGCTTCCAGGAACTGGGGAGGGGGGGCGAGACGGGGAGGAGGCAGGACTGAACAGAAGTGGACGGAAGAGGAGGAGAGAGGGAGGAACGGCAGGGACGAACGGAAGGGAGGAAAGGGGGGAGCATCCTTCTGCCAACGGGTTAGGTTCGACTCTCGCCCTCGCTGTGCAGCCATAGCAAAACATCCGACTGCATTTCTTATATATCATTGTCGGGGCTGTAATGTTTAGACTGGTAGCGAGAGCCCCACGCGCCAGAGCCAGTCAGCCCTTCCTCCTCTTGCCCAATACACCATCCGACGCTATGACACGTGACATATGCTTCGCTCTCTTCTGAAGGGGAACCGAAGCGACCTTGCAGAGGAGCTCCGAAGCAACGTGCGGGACCGCGGCGAGCAAGCTTCGAAAACCGCACGGCCGAACCTGAACTCTGTGGAGGGCAAGGGCAACGACCATGAGCAAGACGGAACGCGGAAACGTCGGCATCAATCTTGGTCATCGACTATCTTTGTCACCAGCAATTCGTGGATGATCATCGCGAATCGGCGACGGCAAGCATAGACCATGACCAAGATCGGCATCGACAAGATCCCGCGACATCGTGGCCATGGTCATCGTGCTCTTTCCCCCGAGTGTGGAGCACCAGGCCGAAACATGGAGAGAGGCCAAAACAAGCTGCCCAGACGTGGAGATCCCTCCGAAGTCCCAGACCGTCAAGAATAGGTATCACGTAAGGGCGAGGAGGAGGAGGAGGAAGCGAAGAAGAGGAGGAGGAGGCCTGGACTGTACGCATCACACGAGTGGATCATTTGGGAGTGGAGAGGTCCAGCACGTTCGAATCGGAGATGAAGTGTTCTCAATATGAACGGCAAATGCTGCGAGCCCTATATGCACGACCTTGCCAATCCATCACTTTTCTTCTTCCGGCGAATAGCGCGACCTCCCCAGTCGGCTATGCAACAACATTGGAAACCGGGTGCAGGAAGCAGTGGTGGCAAGGAAGAGGAGGAGAGGACAAAGAGGATGCAGGTAGCAGGAGTAGAAACTTCGCGTGCGAATGCGCACCGCCCCGAGCCGCACTAACAGCGGCAACTCGCCAGCCCAACAGGCCACTCGAGGTAACTCAGGTCGGAGTGTTTAGGTATCCAGTCCGCGCGCGCGGGAGCGGCCCTGGGTGGCCTGCGGACCTCACTGGGGCCGAAGTCGGGTCAACGGTGGACGAAATCTCTTCAAGAGCGGGCGAAACCAACCCACGCGCGCGGGCCAAAGCGTATCAGACCCCATGCTGGCCCCATGCTGCTCTCAAGATGGCTGTGCCCTGGTGGCCTTAGGAAAGGACAGAATGGCCGAACCACCTTCCCTCAGATGCTCCCAAGAAGGCCAGAATCATCGAACAACCGCATGTTGTTTCAAGCGTTTGGGACTTCCTGCCTGTGCGGGCTTCAAGTAGCTTCTCGGGCCCCAGGGTGCCGCCAAAAGGGCAACACAACGTCGTTAAGAGGGCCTCGCCTTCTTCCAAGAAAGCCCCACGAGGTTTCCAACGGAACCACCAGAGAGCCCACGAAAGGCCAACCAACGAGGGTCAGTGGGCGGCATGTGCCAAGGTACCCCAAGAGGCGCCGCGATGATTTTGGCTTCGCTCACGAGTGTCCAATACAGCTGTCAAGGGAAACCCACAAGGCCACAAGAAGCTAGTGAGAGGCCACTGAAGAGCCCCAACCAGCCTCCCAATATTCCGACAACTCTTCCGCAATGGCCAGACTCATAAGAACAAGTTCGGCCGTTCTGCCTCTGCTGGCTCGAATCGTTTTTGTTCGGCACCCGTGCTGGCCCCAAGAGGGCCCCAGAAGAGCCCTGATGGGGTCCCGAGACTCCCCGAGAGCGCTGCAGGATAGCCCAAAGAGGCCTCAAGGGCGGTCCAACAGCGGAGGCCAGCGGGAGGTGGCCCCAGGACAGCCCCGACATGCCCCGAAGGCGGCTCGAGAGGGCCCAACACAACCACCAAGAAGTCTCCAAGAGGCTGCAACAAGTTACTGCAAGGCCCCTTAGTGGCCACTGACAGCCCCCAGAATCATCCCAACATCCCCCTAATACCATCAGGATCATCGACTACAACAAGTTGTTGTTCTATGATTGGGGTGTCTCTGTCTGTGCGGGCTCCAATTGGCTTTTCGGGACTCCTGCTAGCATAAGAGGCCTCCTGGCCCGAATCGGGCATAAAGAGTGCCTAAGCACTGCCTAGCAGCAGGGGCCATCTGGAAGCCGGCGCCAGTATGGCCCCGAGACGCACACCCCCAAAGGCCGCACGGTGACCCCAAGCTGGCCCACGATTGTCCAAGACGGCCCACACGAAACCTCCGGGTAGCCCGAGACGAAGACGGCCCCCTCAGGAGGCCCCAAGAAGCCCCTCCAAGAGACCCCCACAGCTGGCCTCCAGAAGCCTTCGCCCAAAGACCCCCAAGAGTTCCCCAATATGCGCCGACATCCGATGAAGGTTTCTTCTTATTTCTTAAAAAGGTTTTGCCACATTGTCTTCACGTGCCTTCGGGCTTCGATGGCGAGCAAGACTTCTCCATGAAGTGTTGCACTCAGTCTACTCAGCGACTGCTTTTACCCCACTCGAGCGTCACCCGACAGGTTGGGGAAACTACCACCACCGAACAACTTTCAGAAGCCCACGGACACGCAAGCACATGCCAAGGGCGATAATGTATGAGCTGCCGGAATGTGCGAACCGGTTGAGTAAGAAAACGCACGAATGTGAAAACAACACATGGTGACGAATAGAACAAGTATTTCAAAGGGACGTGAGAAACGGTAAGTTAAAGGTGTGAGAAGCCTGACGGCACATGCCATGCGAAGGAAAACATACACCACTGAGACATATTCTGCAACAGCAGCCGGGCCATATAACCTGTGGCTGTCCCGTTGGCCAACTGGCCAGCCAGAAGTGAGCACTCTGCAAAGCCAGGGCCAACGCCGCTCCTGGCATCATGGTCGGCCTCATGGCAGTCCGTCCATGCGTCTCTGTAGGCGGCTGACTTGGCGTCCCAAGGACTGGAGGCCAAACTCGTCCAGCAACGTGTGGATGTCGCTGGACGGCCTCCGGCGCAACATGCCACGGATGCTCGCCTTCTGCACGGGCACGTTGTGCTCCAGAGTCGCTAACGTGCGACTCAGGAAGGCGATGTCTTGGCCCGCGGCCAGCGCCTTCTGGACGCCCGCTGCCCCCCGCAGCCCCAGCGTGGCCACCTTTTTTTTACTTGTTGTTTGTGTTTTGTTTTGTTTTGTTTTGTTGTTTCAGCGTGGCAACCTTGTCCAGGCCCGCGTACACAGCATCGAGGTCCTTGAACTGCTGGAGCAGCTGCGCTGCCGTCCTGGGGCCGATACCCCTGACTCCTGGGATGCAGTCGGCGCTGTCTCCCACGAGGCCAAGCATGTCCACCACCTGGCAGGGGAGCACGCCGAACTTCTTCACCACTCCTGCCTCGTCGTAGCGGCTCCCCCCCGCGGGGTCGTACACCGAGAGCCGAGGCTCCACCAGCTGGCAAAGATCCTTGTCGACTGTGACAACGGTGCACCTGTGCCCTTTGCTCAATACTGCTGTGCTCAGGGTGGCTATTAAATCGTCCGCCTCGAACTTTTTGCTTTCGAAGCACTTCATGCCGAGGGCATCTGCAAACTCCTTGCAACGCTTCAACTGGTCCAAGAAAGGAGCCTCTGCCTTAGGGCGGTTCGACTTGTAGCCCGCGTGCATCTTCTTCCGGAAGGCGGATCCGCCGCTGCAGTCGAAACAGAGAGCCACGTGCGTCGGCTCCTCGGTCAGTGCGTAGTCCACCAGGAACCTGGAGAACCCCACGAGCGCGTTGGACTGGCGCCCTGTCGGGTCCCTCAGCGTGTCTGGCAATGCGTGGTGACTCCGGTAGACGTACGGCAGTGCATCTATGACGCTAGAAGAATCACGCAACAGCAGAAACATAAGCCTCGGAGGTCTGCGCGGATTTGAGAGATCGGCGCGCGGAGAGATTGCCATGCGAGGCGCCGGCGCCGGAGGCGCAGCGCTGGGGGGAGGCCCAGGCGACCCGACCCGAGAGAACCGCGCGGACCTTCGAGAAATTATGCCTGCACCGCTCCTCGTTCTTCGAGACGTGCACCGTCTTTGGGCCTCTCTGGCGCGGCCGCGGCGCCCCGGGCGCGCCCGCGGCGCCGCCGGCCGCAGGGCGGCTGGCCAGGGCACGTCCTCCGCCCAACGGCCGCACGATGGCTGCGCCGCTGAGGGCTCCCGCTGCGGCGAGCACGGCGAACGCAGCCGCCGCCAGCGTCGGCGGCGCGGCGCGGGCCATGTCGGGCCGCCCGCCTCGGTGGGTGTAGGTCGGGCATGTCCCTCTACAGGAGGAACATTCAAAAATAACACAACTATTAGCTATGTTTGAGCATCGTGGGGGTCTTCTTTAGGTTTCGTCCCAAATCCGCCTGTTGGGAGGACATGCACGCCCCAACAGTGGGTGCCAAGGGAACCTGAGCCACAATGGCTGCAACCCGGCCGGCCTCGACACGGCGCAGGGCCGCTCCAAAAACGGTTCCGGGGCGCGCCAGGGGCACGAGGGCTTCCATACTAGCTTGCCCGCAAGGACGTCTGGAGCCACCTCGGCGCCATGCCGGCCGGCATGGTGGTGGGGTTTGCCGCGGGCGGCTGGATAATGTGCGAGGCGGATCTCCGAGAAGCAAGTCGCTAAATCATCACAGCTGCAGTCCTTCGGCCTCGCCTGTTGCACTCGCACGAACTGTGCCCCCCTTCCGTTCCATCATCTGTTATGTTCGTTTGCTGCTGTTGCTGTGTTGATGCCACTGTACACCCCCAGGCCGGAGGTTTTTTTTTCCGATTGGACTTAAGAAATGAGAACACCGATGGATGCAATTGAATCCCTTTCGGGTGTGCGGCAGGGATAAAATTTCCCGCGTGTGACAAGCCAATGGGTCCATCTGTCATCTGGGAATAAATCTACAATAATGATTAACATCCAGGACCCAGGGAAAATGTAACCCGCGGGGCACCACACGTGAAACATCATGCTATCCACGGAACTGTGGATCTGCTGACCAAAACTATGATTCTACGGGGGAAGGGAAGGGGGGGTCTTCCTAGGACGGAGTGGGGAAGGAAGGAGGAGGCACAAAACCGAAGAGAGCGGTACACGTATCCGCTTACCTGAACGGCGCGTCGTTTGCGACATTTGGGGCCCAAGAGGAAAACCTTTGGGCCTGCGTGTGTGTATATATGGATATATATATGGATATATATATATATATATGGATGTATGTATATATATATATATGTGTATATATATATATATATATATATCTTGAGCCGTGGCCGAGTATTGGCATCTCATATTGGGTTTCGCCTTCGATGTGCACCCTGTGCTGCCATAACGACTGGACGGAAAGTATCACTGCTCCTCGCTTGCGTGGCTCGGCGGTCATGATCTGTGTACCCCACACTCAGACTGTTTTTGTTGACTCCGCAGCGCGTGTATCCGCACAACTTTGGCCCAGGAAAGCGTGCGTAAAATCAGGGTGACCAGGGGAGTGGAGGAGAATACCACATACTGCCAGTCGGCAGCGATGCCATAGCTGTACGTCAGACACACATCCCTGTGGGGGGGCGGTAATCTTTCTCAGGGCCTTTCAATTCAAAAGGTACCAACTACGCTGGAGCCAGCCAACAACAACCTGTCGATGTTCCTGTCAAAGCCGATGCGCTGAGCCCCCGTGCAGCAACTGTCTCGACGGCTGCGCGACGAATGCACCCAAACCCCCATATTACACCCGCGCGCCTAGCCCTCCCCACTCCCTCGACCCCGTTCGAGGGAGACAGACTGCACAAACTGGCTGCAAGGAGGGCAAACGGGCTGCACTGACATGGGAACGAGAGACGGTCAAGGCCTACGCGCAGAGGAAGAGAAGACGACGAGCGGCGATGAGAAGCGGGAAGGAGAAGAGGGGGCATGGAAACATAAGCGGGGGGAGGGCCAGGGCTATGGGGACGGAGGTTAAGGGAGAGCCCGAGCAAGGCGTCGATAGAGAAACACAAGTCCACCACCGTGCCACGAGGCACGAAGTGGAGTGCCCTCAAGTCGCTTGAACCCTTCACCCTCAGTCCTGAGGTTTTCAGCACGGGGCCCCAAATTCATGGATTTCTTGGGCCGTGATGCGGGACACTTCGCAGGACCGCAGCGCATGTCTCGTGCTCGGCTTGTCCGCTGTCGTCGCATGCCGGGCGCTCGACGCGAGACATGCGGCAAAAACCAAAGAACCTCAAACGGGTCAGGTCAGACACGCTGGCCGACACACGTCCAACTCGCATCAACTCGCTACTGCGGGGGGATAAGCATAGGTCGAAGAGTAAAAAGCGCATGGACATAAACTTTTGGCGCTCCGCGCGGATTCCTCGGATCTGCGCCGGGCCCCTCCCGCGGCGCCTCCGGCGCCGCCCCTGGTAACGAACGCACAACAAACAATATTGCTATATTGCTGCTGGGGGGTACTCCCCTTGCTTTGGTTAAACTGGCGTGCTCAGAAACGCAACCGCGTTAAATTGACTTGCGAAAGTTTGGAATGGTTCAATTGACGTAGGTACGCGTGGTGTCGAGGCCCCTGGGCCGCGGCGTCCCGGGGCGGCGGAACACATCATGGCCGCAGCTGCTGAACGTAGCAACGTTCTCGAAGCGTGAGGTGATTGCGCTATGTCTTACCAGCGTGGCCACGATGCTGAATCAGCATTGCGACTTTACTGCAGTATCATCACGCTCGGCCAATGCGTCAAAAAGTATTTGCCTGGAAGGGGCGCCAGACAACTGGCGAGCCTTGCTCCGAAACATCGAACGTAACGAGGCCCTGGGCACACTTGATGAACGCACGTTTGATTCGCAAGCCCTCCCACAGACTAATGATTAAGAGCCATGCCCTAGACCTCCTGCGAACGCTTGGAAAACTTTGGCTCTAGAGATGATGCCTCTCGTTGGGGCGGTTCATCAGCGTCGTAGCATTTATACCTGCAATCGAAAACGCCTGCTCGCTGGAGAAACGCTGCTTGTACAACTCATGCGATGTCCGTCTGCACTCGGCCAGCTTTATGGAGTCCTCCCTAAGTTCTTGCACGAGCAATAATAACTGCTCCAAGCCAGCAAGTCTCGACTTCAGATCTGGCTTCCAAACACCTGGCGTCTGGACGAGGCCGTCCCATATCGGTATCTCTGCTGGGTCAAGACCCTCGGACATCACGCGCATCTTGTTTGACAGGAAGAGCGCCATTTGGAACGACTCCACTTGACCTACAGATCGGTCTCCGCTTAACGCATGCAAGTTTAGACCTATCGCGCAATCCATGAACGCGCTTCTCATGGCCGAAAGTGTCGCAGCGGCTGGATCGACCTGTAGCTCCCGCAATGAGCCTCGGAAAACCTTGGCCACTGCTTTCATGATCCTGGGATCCCGGGACTTTTTAGATTGAAGAAGGCATGTCGAATAATTCTTATATACTATGCCGCCGTCCAGATCGATACCGTAATCCAAATAATGTGAATCATGAGGCGGAACATACCGTGCAATTGCAGGAGTGGTGTTATGATCATACAGCATTTTATTCTGCGAATATTCCCAAATCTCAGCTGCGCCAAGGTCGCTGAACAGTTGGGTCATTTTCTGGTGTTGGCCAGGATAGCCTGGTTCCGTATTATAAACAACCAGTCACGCGCCACGTTTGCGACACACTTGCAGTTGAAGCCACGAAGCGTCTTCGCCACCATCAGGGAAAATCACAATCCAATGCGATTCCGATTATGCTGATGTGGATGCGAACTGAGCCTTGATGAGCTCGATGTCCGAACGACCGGCAATGCGCACGTTCGCTCCCATGGCGGTGAAACCTTCTTGGAAGCTTGCCAGAGCAGGATGATATAATAGAAGGCCCAAGTCGAAAGTTGGACGTGGAAGCAAAAGCCAAATCTGGATTCGCATCAAGTACGTGGACGTGGTCGTGGTCGTGGACGCGGACGGGGACGTGGACGTGGCAAGTGAGATGGGGTTTACGTTTCCAAACCCGACGGATGCTGCACCCCGCAAGCAAGCCAAGACAGCGATGACGGCGCAACACAACAGCACCATAATCGTTATAATAGCTAACGCCCTCACAGGCTCCATAAGGAGCCCCACCTGCGGTTCCAATGGGGATTGGGCCGAATTTGCTTTAGGCAAAAGGCTTGAGCCAAAATGGCTACGGAGGCTCCTTGGGGGCGTCTTGGGCCGTCCAGGGGCGTTTGGGGGGCTCCCTGGGAAACCCGGGAGCGCGGCACCGGGAGTTGCCCCCACATGTCACGGAGTTGGGGGACGCTCCCGGGGGGCGGGGGGCGTATTTGTTTAAACATTCATATCCGGTTATATCATATATTACTTTCTGATATATATATATATATATATTTTCTATTCTGGTATCTTATATCATATGACTTTCCATTATGTTCTATCATTTTATATGTTATTCTATATTCGATATTATTGTAGCATGTTCTGATCACACGATCTTGCAATACTATGCTTTCTATTATGTTATATGTATGTCATATGATACCATATGTATTATATTATGTATTCGTGTAGTCTAGTCTATTCTGTTATATTGAAGTACGCTGTATGGTATCATAACATACAGCCTTCTGTTGCAATATATATATATATATATAATAATAATAATAACATATTCAGTTATGTGTTCACCATACTGTAATCTACTATGCTATATGAGAGTGTAATATACTATCATAAACTATACGATACATTGTAGTACATGTTATTACACTATATTATATTGTATGTTACTACATGGTACTAACTTGTAATACATGTATCATCATATATTGTATTATGGTATATTACATTCTACTATATTGAATTCTATTCAAATAATCGGTATCACGATACACGGGTAATCTATATTATATGTAATGCAACCATCCTCTCACTCTCTCTCTCTCTCTCTCCCCCTTCTTTCTCACTCCTACCTCTCCTCGGCTCCTCCTCCTCCTCCTCCTTCTCCTTCTCTTCCGCCGTCGTCGCCCTCCTGCACTCTCCCGCGCCCTCCCTCGGCGCGCGGCCTTGTGCCACCAGCGCGGCCATCTCCTCCCTCAGGGAGCCGATTTCGCCGGCTAGTCTCTGGCCGACCTGCCCCCTCGCTCCCCATTCCCCTTCTTATGTGGGGCGGGCCACTACGCAGCGCCGAGAGAGGACAATGTTACTGCGTGTGCTGGTAGTGCTGCAGCTCATGCGGCTGGCCTTGCATTTCAACCTCGGAAAGCGCGAGGCTGTGTTGCAACTCCGGGGGCCGCGTTTGCAACCCTCGGCCAACGAAAGGTTTTCACTGAAGATCGGCTCGGGCCTCTTTCCAGTCAGCGAGCCTCGCTTCGGCCTCCCCCTGGTATTAGCTTGCAGAGAAAAACAGCTGAAGAAGAGCAAGGAGACCAATTTATGAAGCGAACGCATTTGTGCTCGGTGCTGTTCCGTCCACCTGCGCTTCTTCAACCTCCTCATCCTTCACGGAGGAGTTGTGCTATCATGCCACTGGTTCTGCTCTCTCTCTCTCTCTCTCTCTCTCTCCCACCAAGCAGTCCCACTTGCCACCCCCCACCCTCTCGCGGGCGTCCATGCACTCTTCGTGCAGCCGCCTCTTCCGCTCGTCGACGCTCTGGTCGCACGCCGCAGCCAACTCAAGGCGGTTGTGCAGCCAGTCCTCGGCCGAGACTATTACGCTCTGTGGTTTCCGCCCATTTCGGCCCTTCGCCTGGATGCTGGACCGACCAGCAGTCCAGGGGTAAGGGAGGTGCTCCATGGGAGAGCAGAAGAGAAACACACACAAACGTACACACAACACACACACACAAGCGCAGACTCACACACACACACACACGCGCACACACACGCACACACACAACACACACACACGCGCACACACACACGCACACACGCGCACACACAGCACGTACACACAATAACATACACGCAGACACACACACAGACACACACACACACGCACACAGCACACACAGACACACACAGGCGCACACACAGACACACACACACACACAACACAACGGCACACACACACACACGCATACACACATACGCACACACAAAACACATACATACACACAACACACTCACACACGCACAAGCAACAAACACAAACACATACACACACACGCACACACACGAAACCACATACACACACGCACACACAGGTACACAACACACACACACGCACACGCGCACACAACACACATACACGCACGCACAACACACACGCACACAACACACAAACACACGCACACGCACACACAACCACGCACACACAACACTCACAAACGCAGACACACACAGTCACATACACACAACACACACACACGCACACGCACACACACATTCAACGCACACACACGCAGACCCACTCAAACACATACACATACACACACACGCACACACACACGCACACACACACGCGCACAACATGCACACTCACTCACACACAAACAGACCAAACACACACAAACACATACACACAATACACACACGCACACACACAACACACACACACACGCAGGCACAGACAAACACATACACACACGCACACAGCACACACGCACACGCGCACACACACACAACCACATACACACATTCGCAGACACACACACACAAAACCACATACACACGCACATACCCAATACACACACGCACACATAAACATATACACACAACATACACACACGCATACACAACACACACACACACACCAAGACACACAGACAAACAAATACACACATACGCAACAAAACACACACACACGCACACAAAACACAGGCACACACAGACACACACACAACCATACACACACGCTCACACAACACACAACACACACACAACACACACACGCACACACAACACACAAACACACGCACACACAACACAACCACGTACACACAGACACACACGCACACGCGCAGACACACACACACAAACACATGCACACAACGCACACACACACACACGCAGGCACAACACACCCACACACACGCACGCACACACAACACACACACGCACACGCACACACACACACGCACGCACACACACACGCACACACACATAACACACGCAGACACACATAACACACGCAGACACACACACACACGCACACACACAATACACACAACACACAACACACGCACAACGCAACACCAACCCACACACATACACACGCAAAGCACAACACACACGCAGTCACACACACGCACACATCCGTAGCCATGTTGGCTCATGCCAATCCCACCAGCCCTCTGGGCGTCGGTGGTGTTAGGGCGTTTCCTCTTCCACCCCTCCCCCTTCCCCTTGAAATTCCTCCCCCTTCCCGTCCTCCTCGCCCTTCCCCTCCTCCGATTCCTCGTGCCCCCCCCCCCTCGCGAAGAGGTCCTGCGGCAGCCCGAAGTCCTGTATCACCTCCTGGGCGGTGGCCTGGCGGGCGGCCCAGCGCGCCGCGGCGGGGTGCGTCCCGCGCGCGGCCGCTCGCCGGGGCGGGGAGGGAGAGGAGGGAGCGAGAGCGCGAGCGAGCGGGCGGGCGGGCGAGAGAGAGAGGGAGAGAGAGAGGGAGGGAGAGAGATAGGGAAAGGGAAATAGAGAAATGGTAATGATCATGGGGGCGAGGGAGAGAGAGACAGAGAGAGTGAGAGAGAGAGAGAGACAGTGGACGAGAGAGAGAGAGAGAAAGAGAAGCAGAGGCAGAGAGAGTGGACCTGTTGCTCCTCGTTGCCCGCTGTTGCTCCTCGTTCTCCTCGCCCTCCCCATTCCCCCCCTCCCTCGTGCTCTCCTTCTCCTACTCCTGGTATCCTTACTTCTTCCCTTCCTTCTCTTCCTCCTCCTCCTCCTCCGCCTCCTCCTCATCCTCATCCATCCTTTCAGCAGGGGCCGACCGTCCCGGCATTCCTAGAGTCCTACCACGGCATGTTCTTAGAACCCCCAAATGCTCCAAGAGCAAAAGCAATGTTCTTAGAACATTAGCCCGATGCGATAACACAAAACAATATCAGCCAGACATGTTCTACGATAATTTCGTCGAAGCCACACATGGTTCTTAGAACATTGTTTGGTGTACATATAGGCAAGCTAGGTCGCCTCGCCACTGCTTGAATCCTCCACCACCTCCTCCTCCTCCTACTCTTGCTGGCTGTTGTCCCGTTGTCCCTCCTCCTCCTCTTTCTTCTCCGCTTCCTCTCCTTCCTCCTACACCTCCATCATATTCCATCCTCCTCCATCTTCCTCCTTCTCCTCCTCCTCCTCCTCCTCCTCCTCCTCTCTATCATACTTCCCTGCTCCCCCACCCATGCATGGAGGACGAGGAGGAGGAGGACGAGAGCAAGGATAAGGGGATGGAGGAGGGAGGGGGGTGGAAGAGGAGGAGGGATGGAGGATAGAGGAGTGAGGGGGGAGGAGGGAGGAGGAAAGGGCGTGAGGGATGGAGGACGGAGGGAGGAGAGGGAGGAGGAGGAGGAGGAGGAGGAGGAGGAGGAGAAGGAGGAAGAGGCGGAGGAGGAGAAGGAGGAGAAGGATGAGGAGGAGGAAGAGGAGGAGAAGAAGGAGGAGAAGGAGGAGGAGGAGACGGAGGAGGAGGAGGAGGAGGAGGAGGAGGAACAGGAGGAGGAGAAGGAGGAGAAAGGGAAGATGAGGAGGAGGAGGATGAGGAGGAGGAGGAGGAGAAGGAGGGAGGGAGACGGAGGGAGGGGGTGGAGGAAGGACAGAGGGTGTGTGGAGGAAGGCGGGAGGAGGGAGGGCGGGAGGAGGAGGAGGAAGAGGAGAGGGAGGACGAGGAGGAGGCTGAGGAGGAGGAGGAGGAGGAGGAGGAGGAGAAGGAGGAGGAGGAGGAGGGAGGGGGATGAAGGAGGGAGGCTGGTGGAGGAGGATGATGAGGAGGACGAGGAGGAGGACCTGTACGGGGATCAGCTTCCCTGCTTTCTGCCTCTGCCGCTGCTCAGCCGGCCCTGAGCAGTGTGCTCACGCCTCAGCCTGCTTCAACGTGTTCTGCTGGGCTGGACATTCTGTCGCTGTCGCTGTCGCGGGACGGGTACCCCCCTCCCCCCTCTGAGACGAAGGCAAGACGAAGATCAATGCGGACGAAGATAAACCGGGAACCTCTGAGAGCCGGCGGGCCTTGAAGA